GGATGGAGGATAAATGTGGATAATTGTCACATTAAAGGCTTCTCCATAAACTGTAATTGATAATAGTTAGTCCTTTATAGCCAAGCACTGCTCTTGCTATATCCGTCCTGATATAAAAGCAACACTTTATTTTTTGTTTGTTTCCTGAGTAATAAAGCATGACATTCGTTTATTCAGACCATCTAAATTCACAGATGCCTAAAATGTCAATGTATCATCAATTAATTTTACCTTTGCTATGCTGACCTTTTCCTTGTTCATACTTCTTCTTATGTTCCATGTTCCCTATATATATTTTTCTTTGCAGCTGTAGATTTTCTTTTCCTGCATGGTATAACATCAACAACTATATGTCCCTAACACTTTAATATAGCCATCATGTAAACACAATTAGTACTCTAAAGATCCTCAGCTTTTCTTCAGTAACATGTTGAGTACAGTCACACCTGAGAGCCATCACCCACAATATACTGTCTTTCATTTTATATTTTTTATCCATGTGGCTTTCTTGATAAAATGCAGAAATGGTTTACCACTGCCTTTTCCTACACAGTGTGAAATGATGCCCTTGCCATTGCCATTATAGTAATCTTTACCTCAACAATCTGCCTATGTTAATAATAATAATAATAATAATAATAATAATAATAATAATAATAATAATAATAATAATAATAAAAAGTTGGGAGGGACCTTGGAGGTCATCTAGTCCAACCCCCTGCTCAGGCAGGAAACCCTATACCATTTCAGACAAATGGCTGTCCAGTCTCTTCTTAAAAACTTCCAGTGTTGGAGCATTCACCACTTCTGGAGGTAGGTTGTTCCACTGGTTAATTGTTCTAACTGTCAGGAAGTTTCTCCTTAGTTCTAGATTGCTTCTCTCCTTGATTAGTTTCCATCTGTTGCTTCTTGTCCTGCCTTGGAAAATAGCTTGACTCCCTCTTCTTTGTGGCAGCCCCTGAGATATTGGAACACTGCTATCATGTCCCCCCTCGTCCTTCTCTTCATTAAACTAAACATACCCAATTTGAGCAGCCTTTCCTTATATGCTTTGGCCTCCAGTCCCCTAATCATCTTTGTTGCTCTTCTCTGTACTCTTTCTAGAGTCTCAACATCTTTTTTACATCATGGTGACCAAAACTGGATGCGGTATTCCAAGATTGGCCTTACCAAGGCATTGTAAAGTGGTATGTTACTGTTGCCCAATACAGGTGCCTGCTTGCTTTGAATGGGCAACTGGGATGATCCTCCCTTCTTGGATGACCCTCAGAATATATATTCCTGGCATAAACTCCTGACATTCTGTGATCAACTTTCCCAGAAACACCTTCCATCACGCCACGATGAAGCAACATAGCAGGACTGTGGGGGGTTAATAATTATGTACATGTGTCTTAAATGAAATAAGCCTATGATATGGTATGCTATCATATCACCCCTAGTCCTTCTTTTCACTAGACTAGACATATCCAATTCCTGCAACCATTCTTCATATGTTTTAGCCTCCAGCCCCTTATCTTTGTTGTTCTTGCCTATTCTTTCCAGAGCCTCAACATCTTTTTTATATTATGGTGACCAAAACTGGATGCAGTATTCCAAATGTGATCTTACCAAGGCCTTATAAAGTGGTACTAACACTTCACATGATCTGTTAATGCAGCCTAGAATTGCATTGGTTTTTTCTTTATTGCTGCAGCACATTGGACTAAACTCGAGATGATGTTCTGGAAGGTTAACTAAATATATTACCCATACTAGCAGTGAGTGTGAAAAAATATTTTGAAAGGGCCTGAACAGGCAGTGGCATGAATTGCTTTCCTTCCTTCCTCAATTACACACACACACACACACCTGTCTGTTCATCATATTTGATTCTTAGAGATTGCCTGCACAAGTTCCCCCAGTTTTCTTGGCAAGGTTTTTCAGCTGTGGTTTGCCATTGCTTCTTTCTAGGGCCGAGGCAAAGTGACTGGCCCAAGGTCACCCAGCTGGCTTTATGGCTAAGGTGAGACTAGAACTCAGGACTTGATGTCTTAAGCACTACACCAAACTTACTCTACGTTACAACACTTCCAAAATACAGAAACATTGGAAATCAGTCAGCAAATACTCTCAGATCATATGAGAGTATCCCTCAAAGGCAGGGATAATGGCCAATAAGGATGGTGGGAATTGGAACTTCACTAACTTCTGCCCATGTTTGTCCCCCAATACTGGGGCAACTTCAACTTTTTCTTAACTTTCCAAAGTTAATAATTTTGTTTTAATTTTTCATGACCTGGGTCCACATACACACACATCTCTCTGTGTGTGTGTGTGTGTGTGTGTGTGTGTGTGTGTTCTGATTTAGTCACCACACAACTCTGACACCAAAGTGACACCAAAACATCTGCCTCCCCTTGGGCAAACAGCAAAGGAATCTCCTCCCTGAACAGCGACGTAACGGTTTACAGCTCTTTCCTTTTCGCCCTCTGTCATTCCATCTTCTCATTGGCCAGTTACCACGCGCGATTCCGCCGTCTCCCCATCAACAGCCAATGAACGCGGGTCACCTGCACCAAAAGACAAGTAGAATCAAAACAAAGAGAGGGCAGGAAGGTAGGCTTTCTGCTATTGGTTGCGAGGGAAGGGCCGGCTGGGTTCTGATTGGCTGCGTCAATGAGCCGGTCGACCGGGTGAGCAGATCAGAAACTAAGCTAGAGAAGCGTCTTAGTTTCGGGGAGCCGTTCGGGATCGGAAGGGTCCCCATTCGCTGCCTTGGGGAAGACCTCCTCGTTAAGAGTCGCGGCTTTGACAAGTTAACATTCCCTGCTTCATCCCGGTAAGTAGAAAGAGATTGCAGATAACATCAGAGAGCGATGCTCTTTGCTTGAGGCACCGACCTCACGATCCCCGGGAGACTTCGACCCGTGAGCGTTACATCACCTGCGGAGCCTTTCTCCCAGCATTTAGATCAGGGATCCTCAACCTGGGCAACTTTAAGTCTTAAAGTTGCCCAGGTTGGGGACCCCTGGTTTAGATACACGTCGGCCCGTATGATTGCGCCGACGGGTAGGGTACCTGATTGACCCTTGCCGTTTTTAACCCGTGCAAATGTCAGGATAATTGGGCTTAAACCAGGGGGGCATTGGACCACAATGAAGGCAAAACGGTGACATCCCCTTTCCCTATTGGAAGAGAAGAGATTTGTTAGGCTACGGGTGGAATCTGATAGCACTTTCTCTGACCACCACATTTATAGAATAACAGAACAGAATAACAGAGTTGGAAGGGACCTTGGAGGTCTTCTAGTCCAACCCTCTACTCCAGCAGGCAAAAAAAAAACATAAGCCGCCCTGAGCTTGCATCTCATTTTATGAAGTGCAGAAAAGGACTAAACTGTTGTACAATTTAAATTGAGATCACTGGGGGTGGGGAGTGAGACAGGTTAGTGATGCCCATGTGTTACCAGATTCCCGATTTCCCCCCCCCCCCCGTCCCCACTCCTCGTTGGGTATCAGTGATTAGGTCTGAAAGAGTTGGGAATGTGGGAAGAGTTGTTTTAATTTAATGGAATTATTTGAAAGAGTACTTAGCTTTTGACTTGTATCCTGATTTTTTGATTAAAATGAATGGTCTATAAATGAATGTTGGAAGAAAAGTCTTCATCCTGGTTCATCCAAGCTGGGAATAAACATGGCAACTGCTTTGGGAAGAAGGTTGTAGTTTATTGGAGAGGAGAGCCAGACAGGAAGATGGTTCTGGCAGCAAAAGAAGTGGGGGGAAAAAAAGGTTGAGCACATGTAGGGAGTGGATTTTTATACTCTCTGGAGCCTTTTGTTTGGAGTTATTTCCTGTTCCTGTTTTGAGGCTATTTCCTGTGTCATGTATTCTGACCTGAGTTTGGGTGTGCCCTTTGGCCTTTGTGAGTTAATCCTACCATGGTGGGATATGCAGATTTTAGGTCTTTGTCTTCTTAATCTCCAAGCTCCCTGGATTTATAGAACTGGTTTCTGCTAATTAATTTTTAATAATTAATTAAAATAAATCTTGGGATAATCATATTTTTTTGCAGTTTGGAGATAAATTGATTTATCTTGCTGTTAATGCCAAACAGAAAAAAAAATCAATCTCAGGTCATTTTATTTTTAAAATTGTTTTTCCCCTTGTAGGTTACAAAAAGAATGAAAGATATCTCTGATATAGATTCTTTGGCTACAAGGCTAAAAAATACAATGATTCAGTACCATAACATTGAGGACAATGAATGGAGAGTTGCTAGGAAAACAGTAAGTTATTGAGCAGGTTTTCTAATTTTGGTAAAACACCAGTGTACACATATATATTATATCAAATTGTGTTGGTTGACATATTTGGTGTGCTAGTTTTAGAAAAATAGAACACAATATGGTGAGTCTTAGTTTCCCAAAAACTAGAAACCACCAACTAAATTTTGGAAGAGATGTGTTGCTACTATTTGATAGTGATAAGTTATCGGTTATATTGTTTTCATGTAAGTGCTATTAACGTTCCCTGTCTACAGTGGTCTTAAAATGTATAAAATGTACGTAGTTTTTAAGCTGGATCGGTTTAAAGATATTATTTCATGAATGCACATTTAACTAATGTCTATAAATATAACAATTTATGGGTAGTGCATGGATATCAATGAATGAAGATGGATATGCAGAATGGTAATTATCAAATGTATTCTCTGTTATTTTTTATAATAATATTTCTGTATCCAGGAAGTTTTTAAGGTTTGCCTGTATGTGAAAAGTTCCTTCTAAGGTCTCTATAGTCTGAAATACACTTTTTAAACATCTTAATTATATCCCACATTCTTAGATATGAGTGACTGAATGTTTTAATAATGTATCAATAATGTAATCCTTCATTTCTTTTTCTGCAGAAAGATGTTACTGTTTGGCGTAAGCCATCAGAAGAATTCAGTGGGTATCTGTAAGTTGAATTTTACTTAAAACATTTGTATAAGATTAAACTACATGTGCATGTGTGTGTGGGTGCTGTCTTAATCAAAATAAATAATGAGATCTTGCCATATTAGGGCAAAAATGGGAATTGGGCACCCACCAGTACATTATTATCAGAATTATGATGTATACCACATCACAAAACTCTCCTTAGGAAGATGAGAATTAAACTGAAATAGTGTGTAGTAACAGAATCATGCAAATCAGCCTGTGTTTTCTTTTCCCTCCCTCTTATTCAGGGGAAGCTGTCCCAATGTTTTTCTAAGACTTTTTTTGTCTCTTGGGGCTTAACACATGCTTCCTCTACTTGTTGTCTGCCTTTTGGATGCTTTCTCTAAGGTTAGCTCTATAGCTCCTTACTATTATCTGTTTGGGTATCATAACTACAACATTGGATCCTAATCTCAAACTCATCAATTAGCCATGTTTGAAACATGTAAACTTCATTATTTTTGTACAACTGAAGGGTAAAAACATCTCCAGATTGGTTTTACTGGTAAGTGCAATAGAAGACACAGTATTATAATCCAATCCTTAGGAACCAGTAATTTTTTAAGTGTAACTCCACCCTTTCAAATGGGATTTATGCATAAACACTTTGAAGAGTTAGATACTTATTACAGAGGTTTATTGGTTTTTCAACTACTTCTAAAGACTACTACAAATATCCTAATTATAAGCTTTAACAGTTTTAAACCCTCTTCTATTAAATCTGTCTTTAGCTATAAAACACAAGGTATCGTGGAAGATGTTACCAATAGAATAATAGATCACATACGTCCTGGACCTTATCGGATCAGCTGGGATAGTCTGATGACCACAATGGACATTGTTGAAAAGTATGAAGAGGTAATGTGTGTGGGCCATATTTCATGTACTTAGCACGTTTAGGGTTTTCATTTATAGATCATAGCTGTCAGGGTTCTGATTAGCAAACGTAGATACATTATATTTAACAACCAATAAGAAATTAATTTGTGTATATGCTGTAAGTGACATTCTTACTTATTCCTGAGTTGACCTCAATAGAGCTAGCTAACACATCTGAAATCTGCCCATCCCTGTCTAAAATACTTTCTTGGAGCACATCTGAAGAAATGAAGAAGGCATGATATTGTTTCAAAAGTCATAGTTGCAGAGCACTCTAACTTAGATCTCTACCAAGGAAAGGGCAGGTATAGCCTTTTCTCCCAAACTATTTTTTCCTGTACAGCACCTGATGCTGGCTGAATATAATTTTCATGATTCTGAAAATATTTTCTTGGCCTTAGAATAGGGGTCCCCAACCCCCGCTCTGTGGACTGGTACCAGGCCGCGGCATGCCAGCAACCGGGCCGCACAAACAAACAAAGCCCCATCTGCAGGATGCAGGCAGCACACAAAACCACGCCCCCTCTGGTCAACGGAAAAAACTCTCCACGTAACCGGTCCCTGGTGCCCAAAAGGTTGGGGACCTCTGCCTTAGAACAATATTAATACAGGTAGTTCTTGCTTAGTGACAGTAATTGGGAGTGGAATTTCCATCATTAAGTGATGCAGTCATAAAGTGCAATGTCACATGGCTGTACCAATTAATGATGGTCGTCCCCAGTTAAGTGAATCATCATAGGTTGTTAAGCGAGAATCTCATATGATCATGACTTCTGGCTTCCTGCCGGCTTCCCCAGTGACTTGGCTTGTGGAAAGCTGGCAGGGAAGATTGTGAAGGTTGCATGATCATGAGCAACAGTTGGAAATCTGGGCTAGTTGTTGAGCACCCAGATTGTGATCACATGACTGCTGGGGTGCTTCAACAGCCAGAACTTCAAGGACCAATTGTAAGGACCATTTGTTCAGCCCTGTCATAAGTTCAAACAGTTGCTGGACAAGTGATTATTAACCAAGGGCCATCTGTATACGTGTAGCATTTTCAAAAACAGACTGCATGCACATACAGGCTGGATTCAAGCATTATGCTGAACAAATGTTTGCTTAGCTATGATTTGTATAAATTGCAATTAGATTGGTTCATTCAGTACCCTAGGCCAGGAAACCCATTACATGTCAGTGCAGTACATCAACCCTACCACAATCTTTAGGACTTTTAATAAGGCTGCAAAAAATGCTTAATAAAAATGAATCGCCTATAAACTGCCATTTTATGATCACTTTGCAGAATTGCTGTGTAATGCGTTATACTACAGCTGGTCAAATATTGAATATCATTGCACCAAGGGAGTTCATTGATTTCTCCTACACAACCAGTTGTGAAGATGGACTGCTGTCATGTGGTAAATTCTCATTGATAATCTTTTATCTTCTAATCCAGCTTTGTAAGAGTAATCTAAAATCGCTGAAATCCCCACAATTTTGCTTTGGGTTGTTTAAGTATAGAGTATCTTATTTTAAAGAGTGATGTCTTGGATTAGGATTTCTTCAAATGAACAGGATTAAACAATTGTTCCAAGGTCAAGCTCCATTTGCATACAATTGGGGCTAGACATATCCCATATATACATGATTCCCTTCAGATTTACAGCAGAATCTGAAATTGCAGTTGCTGTTACTGTGCTAACTTTTTAGAATGCATATTACTTGTGTAAAAATAATTATTGATGTCAAAAAAATACCTGCTCAATTAAACCTGTTTTCTTCTGTCTGAAAGATAAATTTAGTACATTTGTGACAAATGATGTGTAGAAATATAGAGAAAATCCTTGAGTATTATAATGGTTAATTCACTGGGGGGGGGGGGAAGCAGTCATTTTAAGTCAAAGTTCACAAAGCAGGGGTAGCTTGACATTTTTAAAAACTATTTTATTCTTGATTATGCTAATCAGAAGAAAATAAAACTGAAATACAGTATCAGAAAATAATCAGCACAATGCTGTCAATAACTTTAGGCTTTGGGTTTCTCCACATGCTGATTTCCTTATTTTACCTGGCTGAATAAAGATTCTCCTGGTGAATAAGGTGATGGTTCAGGTCTGCGGTTTGGATAGTCACTTTCTTTAAAATTTTACTCTCATCTGTACAAAATAATTTGGAACAGAAATACTGAACTTTGATATATAAAATAGTTGCATCTCTCTCTGAAATTATGTTTATGTGAGTGCACATGTGCCTAAGATAATCTTTTCATGTCCCTTTATTTTATGCTTATATTGTCTGCTTTATATTATGCATTTTCCAACATTTTGTTAATTCAGTTAAAAAGCCATTTTAAAAATGTGTTCTTCTAGATCCTCATATAATTGCTGTTATGTTTTTGTTAAAATAGGTATTAGCCTGGATTACGGTGAAGTAAGGCCAAGTTTTGTTCGAGGGTTTAACCATCCTTGTGGCTGGTTCTGCTTTCCACTCACGGACAATCCAAGACATAGTCTTTTGGTTGGCTTTATCCAGACGGACCTGCGTGGGATGCTCCCACAATCAGTAGTAGACACAGCTATGGCTGGCACACTGATCAATTTTTATTCTGATCTTAAGAAAGCTCTGAAGGCATAATTAGTGCAAGTACAAATTCTCTGTATCATTCATAATCTTTTTCTGTTTTAACACACACACACACACACACACACAGAGATATTTCACATGAAGACCTGTGGTTTTCCATATTAGATACAGTAGTTTTATTTTCACAGATCAATATATTTATTTTGAAATAAGACTCTCAGAGATTTCAGTTGAGATGATTGTTCTAAAGTAATATCCATGTTTATGTTTGAAAAAAGCACATTTCCTAATTTTAAGACTTGAGTTGTGTTAATTACTTTATTCTCTTGAACAAGAACTTTTTATAGTTGTGGAAAGTGTTTTATCAGGGTATTAATTTCAAGGATTATATTTCCTAACAGCATGTTAGGAAATCAAAAACCAGTGTAATTTGTGTTGGGGAACTTCTTTCCTATTGCCTTCTCTGCTACAAAGCTTCTGCTATTCTTGGAGTTTTAAACATACTTTAGGGCCCTTCTGTTCCAAGGCTCTCACTTGGACCTCCATGACTCAAAGCCTAGTTCCCCTCAGTGCACTGAAGGTGATAGGAATATGAATATGCTGCTGCCATTATTCTGAATGCACAGAGACCTGTTTTTATGGACTTAAGAACTCTGCAGTTTCACAAGTAAGGTTTTAGGTTAAGTTCACATACTTAGAGTTATCCAGACAAGGTGTGCAATGGCACACATTTCAGGGCAGCAGAATTGGTATGTTTTGGAGCTCTTCTTGCCAGATTGGGAATACTGCAACACGTATAGTTGCACATTTGTTTTAGAAAAGCTATTGTTATGCATCATAGATCTCATCTGGGTGCCAGATGTGTATATCTAGTTATAATACAGTGAGAACAGAAATTGTATTCCCAATCATTGCCTTGAGGGGCACTATAACTGAATTATGATGTAAGTAATGAAATCCGGTACTGTGCTGCAAAAGCTGAGTGACTTGAAGGATTTTTGAGGACTTTTATCATCTCTTTCAAAATTGTGGCATGTTGTACTTTCAAGCTTTAAGTTTTTTTTAAAAAAAAAACCATTTAAGTTGCTTATTTGAAAATTGTACATGATTTCTATGATTTAAAGCCTGACATTTTAAATCATCTTCTTCGTTTAATGCCATTTCAGTGGAAAGCTATATGGATGATAGGAATATGAAACACACGCTGTGTAGTCAAATTGTACATTATAAGAAGACTAAGGCCATATTAAGAGTATCCGTTTTTGTGGTACATGACTTTATAGTAGCAAGGGAGATAGCAATGTTTTCAATAAGAGAAAATAGAGTAATATACTTGGTTTATGTTATTCTAGCACCATCTGAGGATGTAAATAGGGGATACTAAAGAATGAGCTCATAGATGAGAGACTAAAATTGCGATAAATGCTTTACCTCAGTTTCTACTTGTTCAGTCATGAATAGAATAAAATATCCTGATCTATAAAGGGCTTCCAAATGATCCAGATTTAATTCATCAGTTACCTAAGATGTTGCTGCTGCAGGTGTGATCACACATCAAGCCAATAAGGTTTCACCACAGTTGCTTATTCCAATTCAAAGAACAGAAGCATGGGTTTTGGGAGATGAACTTAATGCACAGTTTGGAAACTCCATAGGAGACCTCAGCCTGAAAGAGTATTTATTATATGATATATTTTTTCATTAACATTAATTCCATTTCCTAATTTTGCCTTGCAAGTATGAGAAAATATCAGTGATGCTATTGGCACAATCCAAAAGATACTGGTACTATTCATACTAACTCTAAATCATAGACTCCTTATTAAGGGCAGCTCAAAGCACTGCAATTTATAGTCGCCACACCTGCAGCACTTCTATAGTGTTGGTTTACATGTACAGCATTGGGGAAATTACATCAACAACATGAAGTAGTGCTAGATTTTCTCATGCAGCTGTGAATTTGTGTAAAAAAATCTGCTTCTGCATTATTATGAACAGCTGAACATAAGGGCTATATTCGCATATTGTGTGGAGTAAATCAGAACATGAATGACCCATCCCCATGAACTGTCATTTAAATAGATAATTCACCTTGCGTGTTTGTTGTGTGGTAGCTGGCATATAATATTTTTTTCAGGAAAAAGCTGTTATATATTTCATTATTTGATAGCAAAGCAAATGCCTAATAAATGGTATCTAGGCTCAGAAAGTGTTGTAAATAGCATGCTGGTATTAAAAATGATAACATTACCTGAAGTTACATACATAATTGATTGCTTTCAGGTTAAATCTAAAAAATTAATCTAAACGAATTGTGAATAGATGGCAAAATTAATTTATTAAATGCATGCAGGCCACTGTGTCTGTGTAATATTCAAGCCAAAATGCAGAATCTTAGATTTAACTAGAAGATGCTTTTTTAAAAATGTGCATACTGTAGAGCCTAGTATTTGCTCCAGTACCTCTATAACAGAAATAAAATCTGTTAACAGATTTCTAGTTTAATGGTGCTAGCTTTGCTTTTTCTGTCTGTTGATAATGATAAAGTTTGTATGTCTTAGACTTTCAACTGTTAGCTAGTTCTAGCTTAGGAGGTTGATTGCAAAGAAACTGCTCAACCCTCAATAGTCTCAGAACGTCTGCAGATTCTGGTAGAAAATTATAGCAAAATATTTTCTTTTATGACTCCTTTAGTAAAGGACTGAATACATAGTTGATACTGTGTATACTCATATATTTTATATACTTTTTAATAATCTAGACCTGGGAATTTGTTTTCAAGAAGTTTCTATTTTATGAGGAAGGGAGGAGTATGCAGATGTTTCAATTCTCCCATGCTTTTCCACTACTTTTGTTTTAGCCAAGGGAATGATGTATTACCTGCACAATCTATCTTTTGATTGGTGGCATTAAGAGCCATCGCTTTGAAAGCATCCTATTACTGCACCTTTTCTTTTTTCCCTTAAGGGGTAAAGCCATTTGTCATTGGAAGAAAAATAATGAGATGAATGTAAACAACCTGCTAAAGTTCCTGTGAGCTGATGGCTCTCCAGACTCAGCTAGTAAAATCCATTACTATTCAGTATGATTTAGGAATGTCATTAAACTGGATGGTATCCAGGCTTCATTCAGCATTTTTTCAGAAATAAAATTATACGTTTTTAAGAAATAGTGCTTCTTCATGCTTCCTCTTTTGTTCTCTGCTTAGGAAGCATTCAGATGACAATCTGGCAGAATATAATCCTAACTGGTATACTATTGATCTGAAATTTTGGTCAGTTTAAATAGATGTTTGGAAATCACTTTGCTGGCTCAAGTGAGAATTTCATTTAAGGTAAAGGAAAAAAAATTATATGTAAGAAGGATGTTTATAGTGTAAGAACAAATGCAAATTGTGATGCATTGCTATTCTGTATTAGAGATGACTTATATTTATGTATTAAAGTGTTTAGATCAAAAATGTTTTGTGTGTTTCTTAAAACTGAACAAATTGATTGATTTAATCATATATACATATCTAATCGCCTATATTGATTCATGTCATCGACAGATCTACTCCAGCATTAATCATTCTGACAATGACTCCATGAGAATGAGAAAAAAAGATGTGATGCAATCAATCTTTAATTTCCTTTTAATCTGTTGTTTCAGCATTTTATCTAAGGTTTTGTTTTGTCTAGAAAGTCACCTTTTCTCCAACTAATCTCTTAATTTTCATTCTGCTTTAATGTCGAAGCTTTATTCGTTTTGAGAAATCTCCTTTTCTACATGCACTTTATTTATAAAATATACTTGTTATATGTGCCTTGGTAGCAGCTACTTCCTGCTATAGCATGCTTGTTTTTTCTGGGATTGTAGGCTGACATTTAACCCCTGATAGTTATGATTAAAAAATATGAAAGAGACAATGAAGGAAATAGAATTTCAACAAAGTTTTAATTTTCTTCATTGTAGAAGTTATGGATGCATGTTCTCTCTAATAAAGCTATTTAATCTAGTGTTGGAACACAGGCAGGTCCATCAGTCTTGCATCTTGGAACACAAATACTTCTGTCATGGTTTCATGTTGCAGTATTTCTTGTTTCCTTTTGCAACACTGCTCCCTGAAAATATTTTTGATACAAAATACATTGAAAAAAAGAACAGAGTTTTGAAGGAAGTGAGTTACTATACAAGGAAGAAAATATATAGGGAATATAATTCAGTTAAATATGTATATATGTTGCCCAACCAAGACCAAGGAAACATAGCTAATTCTAGTTGTTGCACAATATATCTTCTGTTAAACATTAAACATTTGTGTGTCTTATTGGTGAAAAAAATAAATTCAGATCTTCATATTTAAGCCAGTGCTTTTAACTGCAAAGGAAGCCTATTTTAAGAGAGTTTATAATTTCAATCAGATTTTCATGGCTCAGCCAATCCATTGTAATGGCCAATTGGTCTCTTTGAGTTGCATTGCATAGGGAAAGATACCAGTTAAGTCACTTCCCATTGTATCTTCTTAGATCTGAAGCCTCCATATAGTATTAACTTATGTGCATTTTTGTTGCATTATCATCCATGCGTGCTGAGGTATGGTGGCATAGAGTGGCAAACTACTATAAGTTCCAGCTGGGTCCCCTGTTCGTGTCAGAGGCACTGTTTAAGGCTAATGTCACTAGCTAATCAGCTAATCTTTTCCAGTAGATGATGGGAAAGGATACCTTGTGACTCCAACATTGCCTGAACAAACTGGTTCACCAGTGGAGTCTCCTATCAGGCAGGCTAGTACAGTGATGGCGAACCTTTTAGAGACCGAGTGCCCAAACTGCAACCCAAAACCCACTTATGCATCGTCGGGTGCCGGGTGGGTATGGCCCATTGGCTGGGTGTGGCCCATTGGGGTGTGGCCCATTGGGCGGGCATGGCTACACTGGTAACGGCAGACTGGGTGGGACTAAAAAGTTCAATCAATCAATTCCAACTGTGCAAGATCTTTTTTTTCCCTGCAAGAACTTGAAATTGACTGATTGATTGAACCTTTTTTTTTTTTTTGCACATGGCAGCGGAGGCCTAAAGCAAAAAGGTTTTATAAAACCCAGCTGAAGGCCTAGGAC